GCCTCTGCTCACTCTAGCCTGCCGTGTGTGACGCGGTTTCGTTTGTGAAAGCGAAACTACTTTGTTTGTTCTTCCAAAAGAGGACACGACTAGAAATCAGTGGTTAAGTTGTATTTACAACACTGTTCCAGAACAGTTCAACCCAAATATTCAGATGTGTGCAGTGCATTTTATGGAGGACTGTTTCCTGATCCTGGTAGAGCAGATTGCAATGCTGGCTGTTCTGACTCACAGTCTGTAAGTACGTTTTCATTTAAAGGATTTGCCACTGATGATTCAAACGCGAGTTTTGAGCAGTGTAGAGTAGCACTTGTTGTTTGTCGTTTCTCCGATCACAAATGCAGACATGGTTTTATGTTTACGCGGCGCGATGCAACGCAATGTGTAAAAAGACAGTATAAGTCATTATAATCTGTAATTATGTGTCGGTCCGGCCGGACAGAGCATCACAGTATGGTAAGGGGCGTAACATTTCCGTCACACGCTTGAGGTATTCGGCCAATCATAACGCACTGGATAGCTGGCCAATCAGAGCACACCTCGCTTTTCAGACCGATGAGCTTTGTAAAAATCGACGCGTTTCAGAAAGGCGGGGCATAGAGGAGAAACAATAATGTACATTCAAAATAATGTGTTTTTTTAACCTTAAACCGCATAAACACATTGCATTACACCAAATACACCAAATAATGTTCTTTGTAGCAATGTCATATGACCCCTTTAATAATTTTTTTTTTGGGGGAATGCTGCTAACTGCTATAGGGCTGATATTTTGTGTTTAGATGCAGTGAGCAAATGTAAAGTTGTTTTTATCATTGGGGAGCCATGCAGATGTTCTTTTACAGATGTTACCCAGAGAAACAATTACAGTCCGAATAGCGCTTATGATGTAGTTGGATACATCCACTGTCTAAGTTTGACTTTCAGCCATTACTGGATTTAGAGAAGAGAGACTGTTATAAATTGTTTATGTTGTATGATGACAGGTTTATCAACATCCGTATGTGTGTGAAAGAGAGGGAGAGCGAATTCCAGGGCTTTGAATGCCAGTATGAATGTTTACTCTAGACATTGTGCAGGATTTTCTAGAGTGGTTTAACAGCAGAGGATGGTCAAGGGAGAGCAGTGTGGACGTACAGGGTGTAAATCAGGTCAGACAGGGTTAAGCCAGGCTAGATTACTCGCTGTCTTTAGCTGAGGCCTTTCAGATTTCCTTACACACATAGAAACACAGACATGCGGGCAGATAACTCCTGTACAGATGGATTTTTACAGGCGAACAAGAAACAATCTTCTGTATAAAAATATTAGTACTTGTATTAAGTATTTGTTCTTTCAAAAATGGAAATTTGGGTACACTTTAGTATAGGGACCAATTCTCACTATTAACTAGTTGCTTATTAGCATGCCTATTATTAACATATTTGGCTGTTTATTAGTACTTATAAAGCACATATTCTGCATCACCATATTCTACATCTCTAATCCTACCCAAAACCTAAACTTAACAATTACCTTACTAACTATTAATAAGCAGCAAATTAGGAGTTCATTGATGCAAAAGTTGTAGTTAATGGTTTGTAAATAGCGAGAAATGGACCTTAAAATAAAATTCACTTCCACTTTAAAAACAAGTTGTTATTCTCTGAAAATTGAGCATTTATAAGAGAAATAATAATGTTTCGATCTGTAAACAAATCATTCTTTTGAGCTTGATCTTTTCAGTCTGGGACTCAATGCTGAAACATGCAAGCTTACTTTGTTATGTGTACTTGTTTATATGTCCTGCATTTCTAAATTCAGGACCCAGGCTAAGAGTACCTCAAACAAAGATTACATGGGATAGTAATACTGCGTGACAGACAAACCTCAAGAAAAATCCACTAGTTTCTCCTCAAGGAGTTCTGCTCAGCCTTCGCCATCAAACATTCATGAAGATATACACACATGCACACACTGATGCACGCAAAGCTCTCAGCTCCACAGATGTAATGTGCGCTATAAGTCTTTTTTATGTGACGGTTGGTTATAGAAACCGTTCGTGTATAGAAAGCGCACGGAATGAGAACAACATGGCTTCTGTCAGCGTAACAGTTTGTGTGGAATGGCTTGTTGTCATTCTTGTGCAATTAAAATTAATCAGTAGATTTTGAAAAATGAAAGCTTACTTAATATTGCTTATATTTCTTTAAAAAAAATGCAAAATGCATGTCAAGATGGACAACCTTCCTGATTTTTTTTCTATCTGTGTGTTTCCTCAGCCAATCGGAGCGCTGAACCCAAAGCGTGCTGTATTCTACGCCGACCGCTATGAATCATGGGATGAGGAAACTCCACCCTGCCACTACACAACCCACTATTCCACCGCAGCCTCCACCCTCCACTGGCTTGTCCGAATCGTAAGTCTCGTTGATTGGATGGATGCAAGGAATTTGATATCTTCAACATCTGGGAAGTACCTAGTTTTACTGGATAGTTAACTGAGCTGAGCTGCTTCTGGCTCGTATTATGGCCTCTATGAATGTTTAATCATATCATACAAGTCCGTTTTCAACGAGAGGAAGTGTAATTATGTCACCCGTTTATGAATATTCTAATGATTACAATGCAAATACCCCTTTTTATTGGATTTGAAGATTTGTAGTACATTAAAGGAGACCTATTATGCCCTTTTTTACAATATATAATATAAGTCTCAGGTGTAATATAAGTCTCAATATGTGACCCTGGACCATAAAACCAGTCATAAGAGTCAATTTTTTGAAATTGAGACTTATACATCACCTGAAAGCTGAATAAATAAGCTTTCCATTAATGTATGGTTGTTAGGATAGGACAATATCTGGCTGAGATACAACTATTTGAAAATCTGGAATCTGAGGGTGCAAAAAAATCAAAATATTGAGAAAGTCGCCTTTAAAGTTGTCCAAATGAAGTTCTTAGCAGTGCATATTACAAATCAAAAATTAAGTTTTGATGTATTTACAGTAGCAAATTTACAAAATATCTTCATGGAACATGATCTTTACTTAATATCCTAATGATTTTTGGCGTAAAAGAAAAATCGATAATTTTGACCCATACAATGTATCGCTATTGCTACAAATTTTCCAGAATAATTCCAGAATAAAAAAGAGATTTTTTCCCCCTTTTCCAGAATAGGGCTGTGTCTTTACAGCTCGTACATCAGATACTCTGCTAAAAAAACATTTGTTTGGTTTTGATTATCATGTGTATCGCGCTGAAATCATGCGTTTTAAAACATATCAGTTTAAACTTCTGATATACGGTTTCCTGAGCGCACACATCCAAAACATGCGCATAAAAAGCAGCTATCACACAGCATGTGAGTACTAAACTAAGTTCTCCTTCATGTCTTATTGCGCTTAAACTGTCAAATGCACAAGTTTATGTTAAAACACACACATCTTGTCTCCCCTGAGGCTGGGACTCTAAATAGTGTTCTGTGCCCATCAGTGCAGCCAAAGACAGAACAGTTAGCATGCTTTGCTCGAACTTTCACCATGGCGTTAGAACTGGTACACCATTGTCGTTTGCGAAAACAATGGCACCGTGGGTGGAAATTTACAGATTAAGGTGTGGTAATATGTGGTAATATTATAATAAGATCCCCTTTCTACGTCACGGGGGGAGCGAAATCTGAGCGAAATGCTTGCAGCGAAAAGCCTACCAAAAAAATGTACTGGGTTGTTCTTTTACACGTCTTTTGGATTGGTAGATGCACCGGGGACCCAATTATAGCACTTAAACATTAAAAAAGTCAGATTTTCATGATATTTCACCTTTAAATCTTTTATATTTACATTATACCATGCAAAATCTATCCAAAAATGTAATATACTTCAAAATGTATTATGGCTGTACATTGGAAATGATGCTGTCAAGAGTCTGTGTATACATAAAACAGTCCAATACGATAACACCGAGCCCAGTTAGTGGATCAAATCACCGTCAGTCAAAGCGCACGTTAGCGCGTCCTTTCACCGCACATGTGAATCAACCCCTACATCTCAATCCACGAGCTTGATGTTCCGCTACAGAGAGCCGGTGAGTGGATTTCACAGGCTGGTAAACAGGCATATGTGAAAAAGAAGTCCTCGGCGTAATGATTTACAGGCTGGTACGTGACAGCTTGATGCCTCTCAGACAGCACGTGGAGCGCTGGGAAACATGTCCATCATTGTCTCCTGCTAACTTCCTCACTTGCCCTGAGTCTCCAAGCGCTGATCTGGGACAAATGGACTGGTAGACCAGAACACCACAGAAAATGAAGTTGTTCTTAAGGTTGAGAGGAGATTGGGTTTGAGTATCTCCTGATGCTTTCGTTTTTTTTCCACATTTGTTACATCATATGACTATGTTTTACTAGTCTACAATGATAAACAATACACTGTTGTGTTTTGTTACATAATTCGATTTTTTCACTGCATAAAGATTTTATGCCAGAGCTCAAATCAGTCATGCGGAGTGTTTGGATTAGATCCGCATACTTGTTTTTGTGTCAGATTTTATGATGAATGCAATCTAAACCAAGTGTAGTTTGTTTACAAAGCAATTTGTGTATGTGATTTGATTGAAAAGCCATTAAAGCTCATTATTTTAAAAGACCTCTTTTAATGAGGAATCTGCCTATCCATCTTGCGAGAAAAAATTAAAACACATAATGAAAACTTTGTAATTGGCTCTGCCAAGGCGGCCCGTAGCATTGGTGGTGATGATTTGGAAGGTTCCCCTTGGCAGCTCTCACACCGGGCTTGACTGAGACTGTAGACACCATCATCTTTTCCTCTGGCTGATCCAGCATCTCCATGTCAACTCCTCGTACTGCCAGCCCAGACTGATGACCCTGAATCTGCCAATTAGCTGAGCTCCTCAGCCAACAGGCCATATAATTAACTCCGCCTCGGGCACTGTTACAGAAAATGAGAGGACAAAAAAAAACCTTCCACAAACTCTTCATAATCTGACAGATGAGTCCCTACATTGAGATGTTTGTGCAAATGGAACGTTTCCCAGAGCAGCGAAGAGAAGGACTCCATCACGAGATTGAATCCAATTACCATAGAAATGAATGTAGATGAACTGACTTTTTTATTCTACTGATGTTTTGGGCACCGAATAGCATTAGCGCTTCACAAAACGGTGCAGATTTGTCTAAACAAGTGCCTAATTAGCAGTCAGAATCATGTGATACGTCTACGGTTATTTTCACACATTTGGAAAGATGTTTTTGAGCTTATTTGGGGCAATAAAAGTGACAGTGTTGTTTTGTGTCTACTCAATTGCAGGAGCCTTTCACTACATTCTTCCTGAACGCCAACGGCAACAAGTTTGATCTCCCAAACCGCACTTTCTCCGGCATCGCCCGCTCGTGGAGGCACTGCCAGCGTGATACTGCAGATGTGAAGGTAATCAGATATTATTGTTTTGTACATTGTAATGTCTAAATGGGCTCGGAAAGTAGTCATTAGTGCCTGACTGCTATGATGATATAGGTGTGTAACTGTGAGGAATCGAATAAACAGTTAGCCTCTTTTTAGTCCAACCAATCAACTAAAATTGGTATCATCCAGTTCCCAAAAAAACAAACAGGATTGCATTGTTTTGATTTGCAGCAACATTTAGTTCCTGTAGCTTCCGAGCTGCATCAAAACTGTCTTTTTTCCGTTTTATATGTGTGGGTTTTTTTGTGAAATTAAGATTTTTCTTCATAAACATTTAAAGTAAAACATCGTTCAGCATGCACATATTTCAGAGAGGCATCACTTCATCACCGTAATGGTTGTTCCCCGTTGCCTCCATTCCATTTCAGCCCCTCTCTGCGGCTCAGCAAGCGCACTCGAGCTGACCTAAAAGTGTCAGACTTTTCCAGCACACTTGGTGACGGGTTAGCTTCGCCCCAGGCAATTAATAAAGCATTAATGACAAAAGCTATTTAAAATGTAGTCTTTTATGTAAAGGCAGGGCTTTTTACTACCCCGGGCTGGGGAACAGCATCCAACAACACGAGGTGCAGGCGATATGCACGGCAAGCGAGCGGCTGTACAGGGAAACGCTAGATATGTTAGCAAATACAGGCCTCTCGGAACCACTGAGGTGTCTGTGTGGATCATGTTAAACACATTTAATGGTCACCAATCTGTTAGGACAAAAAATATGGATTTTTTGTATTTTCTTGTGGAGCATGAGGTGATTTTTATTATGGATGAGCAGCATGAATTTTATCATAAAAGACTAGCTTTGTATGAGTATTAGGTTTTAACAATCTAACTATCCAAATCACTAAACTCTTTCACACACACACACACACACACACACACACAAACTAAAAATAATGAACTCTGATAAGCCATCATTCTTTGCTTTATTTTTTTTCTTGGTGCATTTTAAAATTGCATATACTGCATTCAGTCAATTTTATTAAGATATTTAGTTAATGTTTAAAAAAACATTTTCCAGAGTTTTTTTTTTAAACATTTTTAAATTGTACATAATAA